CCTTAAACAGTTACTGTTATGCAGCTAAATCTAAACTTACTTTTACAACACGCAATGGATGCAGTCAGTTACCTTTTTCTTGGAAATAGGTCTCTCCTCTTCGTCCAGATGAGCCCTCTTCTTAGCAGGACCCTTCTCCTCCTCCTCTTCATCACTGTCGACGTATTGCAAATTGGGCTTGGTAACCCGTTTAGAGGTGCCAGCCTCGTCATTGGTCTCCATCTCACAGAGTATTTTTTGCAGACTCTTCTCCCATTCTGGTGCAGATAAATCAACATTAACGTGACACAGTAGCAAACACTGTACTGCTATTTTCTGTTATGGTTGCTCGCGCCGAAAAGCGTAGCTGGCTCAACATATAGTCTACAGGGGTCTTCAAGGGGGTCCCCTGTAGAGTTACTACAGGGGACCGCCAAATCTTTGTGTGATAGGATCATGTTTTTACATGAACCCCAGCATTATTTACAACACAATTTTATACAATATGTAGTGGGTGTCCCTGCTTCTTCTCTCTCTCAGCCAAGGGGTCCTTGGTCTGAAAACGTTGCCTGGTTTACAGGCTTTTGTTCATTTAATTAGTTACTAAAGCTAAATAAATATGGATAGCGTGTACATACTTGCAACCTTGATGATCCTGGCTTGATACACCGGCCACTGTCTATTGGCTCCCTTGCGTCCATGGCGCCATTCCACCAAAAACTCCTCAGGAGTTTCTTCGTCGCCATTCAAGTAATTCAGTTCATTCAAATCTCGAACACAGTCAATCGGCAGAATGCTCCTAAATCAAATCAAATCAAGTTTTATTTGTAGAGCACATTTAAAAACGATTTTGGTCGAGCCAAAGTGCTGTACATGTAATTTAAACACATAAAAACACATTACATCACAATAAATCACAACAGATAAAAACAACACATGGAACAGTCAGGAGTCGTAACCCCACTCTAACTAGAAGGCCAGAGAGAAGTAGTGTGTCTTCAGTGTGGATTTAAAAGCCCCTAGGGTCTGGGCCGACCTCACATGGAGGGGAAGAGTGTTCCAGAGCCTGGGGCCAGCTGCTGCGAAGGCTCGGTGCCCTCGGGTTTTCAGCCTGGTCTTAGGCACTACCAGCAGCAGCTGGTCAGCAGATCTTAAAGCTCTGGCTGGGGTGTAGCGCTGGAGGAGTTCAGCTATATAGGCCGGAGCCAACCCATTTAGTGCTTTAAATACAAATAAAAGGATTTTAAAATTAATTCTGAACCGGACTGGAAGCCAGTGTAGTGAGGCCAGAATTGGGGTGATGTGGTCACGCTTTTTGTGGCCAGTCAGGAGACGTGCAGCTGCGTTTTGGACTAGCTGCAGGCGTTTAATTGATGCCTGGTCCATACCCACATACAGAGCGTTACAATAGTCCAGTCTTGAGGTCACAAAGGCGTTAATAACCCTTTCCAGGTCTTTAAAAGATAAATACGACTTGGTTTTGGCCAATAGTCTTATTTTAAAAAAGCAGGATTTTACTGCGGTGCTGACCTGCTTGTCGAATTTAAAAGTGCTATTAAAGGTCACTCCAAGGTTCAAGACAGAGGGGAGGATGTTTTTACTTAGGGAGCCCAGAATATCAACCAGAGAGGCTAGAGGTTGGGGTCCAAAAAAGATTACCTCGGTCTTGCTTGAGGTTGAGGAAGTTTTTGCTCAGCCAGGATTTTAACTCTGTTAAGCAGTCCATCAACTGCTATAGTGAGTTGACATTTGCTTTGAGAGGCAGATAGATCTGTACATCGTCCGCGTAGCAGTGGAAGGGGATATTGTGTTTCGTGAGGATTGAACCTAGGGGCAGTATGTACAGTAAAAAGAGGATGGGGCCCAGAATTGAGCCTTGGGGGACCCCAGAGGTAAGAGGGGCTTTGGCAGAGGAGAAGGCACCTAGCTGCACTAAAAAGCTACGGTCTGTCAGGTAAGACCTGAACCATGCAAGGGCAGAGCCTGTGATGCCTGCGGACTGTTCAAGCCATGACAACAGGATGCTATGGTCCACAGTGTCAAAGGCAGCTGTCAGGTCTAACAGCACCAAGACAGCTGGGCTGCCTGAGTCGGCGGCTAGGAGCAGATCATTAAAAACTCTTAAAAGGGCTGTTTCAGTACTATGCATGGGTTTAAAGCCAGACTGAAACTGTTCATGGATGCCATGCGTGGTTAAGAAAGACTGCAGCTGGGCGTAGACTACTCGCTCCAGGGCTTTTGATAAAAAAGGTAGCTGGGAAATGGGCCTAACATTTGCGAGAATGGAGGGGTCAAGATTTTTCTTTTTAAGTAGTGGCTTGACCACGGCATGTTTGAAGGCAGCTGGGACACATCCTGAGCTAAGAGAGGTGTTTATAAGTAATAAAATACTTGCTCCAACTGATTCGAAAACATCTCTGAGAAGGCGAGAGGGAATGCTGTCTGAGGTGCAGTTTGTCGGCCGCAGGTGCATGACTACATCCGAGAGAGAAGAGAGGGAAACAGGCTCAAAGTAGTCGAGGACAGCATGGCACAGAAAGGGAGCAGAATCTGGGGTAGCACTAGTGTGGGCTAGCCTAAGAGCAGATACTTTTTCAATAAAAAATGTAAGAAACTTATCACAGAGAGTAGTCGATGGCACAATTGGAGAAACATCACAGGGATTAATGATCGAGTCGAGGACATTAAAAAGAACCTGAGGTTTATGGCTGTTTTTGGAGATTAACAGAGAAATGTGCTGTGTTTTGGCTGCTTTGACTGCCGTCTGGTAGTCAGCTAGGCAAGCACGAAGGATTTCTAGGGAGACATGGAGTTTGTCCTTTTTCCATTTTCTCTCTGCACGCCTGCAAGCGCGTCTGAGAGCACGAGTACAGTCATTGAGCCACGGCTGTGAGAGCATTTTGGTGCGTCTAAGCGTAAAGGGAGCAACATAATCGAGTATTTGGGTACATGTCGAGTCAAACATGGAGATAAGCTCATCAGCACTAAAAGCACAGTTCATCTCTAATTTACAGATCGGAGAAGCATTAAAAACATCAGAAAACTGAGAGGCAGTCAAGGGGTTAATCGAACGCAGACGGCGCGCAGGGGCACGTGACTCGACTCCTACAGAAGGGATCGAGGTTGTAAACAGAACCGGTAAATGGTCTGAGATACGCGTTGCTGCACAGATTTCATCCACAGAGACAGACAGTCCAAACGATAATACTAAATCTAAGGTGTGTCCTTTTTCGTGTGTTGGGCCAGCCACAGACTGAACGAGACCAAAAGAATCAAGGAGATTTAAAAAGTCCCTAACCAGAGGTTTTGACTCGCAGCACACATGAACATTGAAGTCTCCGCAGATCAAGATACGATCATATTTCACCATGATCCCGGACAGAAAGTCAGAAAAGTCATTTATGAAATCCTTATTGCATTTTGGCGGACGATACACGACTGTGCAGAGTATAGGTGAGGCCGGGTTCAGTTAAAAAAGCTGCAAAAAGCGGGGGGGGGGGCGATGTATGGTTGTCAGATGTGAGTTTGGGCAGCAATATCAACTCCAATGAGGGTCTGAGGTGGAGGAGAGCTTGGCGATCATAGATGAGCAGAGCAGAGACATTCTGACATACATACAACAAAAACAGGATAGCTAAAGGCAGAGAGCTGAGGGAGCGGCGAGCCGACACAGGCGCCATCTTGAAATCCTTCTCAAGTGCTGCTCATGGGGCAACCACTTCTCACTGTTGTAGGTGTGTTTATCTAAGTAACTTGTCACTACCTTCTGTCCACTCCACCAAGGCAAACTTGCACATGGTGTAATTTAATTTGTATGTTTGTTCTGTCGTGTTGTGTTTTCCTGTATCCGCGAGCGTTTGGAATTAGAAAGCAGGTGCACATTAAGCCCCCAGGAAGTGCGCCGGAGTCTGATGAGAATATTCATTGTGGCCAAACGGTGGTACTACACTTCATTTAGGTTGCTGGGCCCTGAAACACTTTTTCCCATTGACTTACATGGGGAAAGAGTGGTCTGTAACTCGTTGGATACTTTTTTTAAAAACTAAATAAACTACCCAGTATGAACACTTGTATAGCACTTATTAAAAACATTCGTTCCTCAAGTTGTAAACATTTGCTAATAACGTTATTCTGAGAGTTATTTCCTTCTGCATTATGAACGCGCATCTAACCCACGGGACCGCGCCGCCCGGCACGTTCATGTTATGTGTTCAGTACTACATGCGTTTATCTTTACCCATGGATGCACAATAACAACGGACCATATCGCCCTACTGCCATCCCACGGAGCTGTAATAATGGATATATTGCACATGTTTGCTGTAATTCATCATTTTAAAAATATTATACTACATGGGCTGTATGATGTAAATGTTGTATTAAATAAAGTTAATATTACCGAAGTTAGATTAACGTCCCTGTAGCTTATTATTGCACTAAGAAGCTTATTGCACTGTATATATATATATATATACAGTGCAATAATTATTTCATGCTAAATGAAGCTCTGTTGGATATCACTAGATCCTGTTGCAGCATAATATAAGTACATAACGATTGATGTCACATTAGCATAATTACTAGCTAGCCGCTAGCTGCTAACTGCCGCCTCGTTAATATAAAATCCATCATCTATCACAATCCATCACAACCCAATTGACGTGCTTGATGTGAACGAGCATTTTGGTTAAAGTTGCGAATGCTCTATGAGTGCACATACGGGTACTTCTCAGGCATGCTGGGTAATCTGTGACGTTTCACTCTCTCAAAAGTTGGGCCATTTGATCATTTTTATCATTTTATCATCATTTATAAATTTTAAGAATGGCGTTTATCTTTTTTGAGAATTAGTTCTTATTTTATTTTCTTTATTTGGTTCTACAACAGATGATACAAATGTTTGTGTCAGTAAATGTGTAGGCCTACTAACAGAGGCGGGGGTGTGTGTAACGGGGACATAGCTGGCTGCTGTCAGACGATCAGCTGTGCAGTGTCATCACAAAGCTGCTTCGGACGTCACATGTCACGTGATTTGAAGCAAGCTTCGAATCACTGCTTCTATGGAATAGGAAGTCCAGGGTTGAAGCTCCGTTCGAAGCTTCAGTGTCAAACTGCCATCACTAGTAGTTGCCAACTCGCCCGTTGCCCCAAACAGTTTAAAAATGGATCGACTTGTAAGATATAAACGATACCTCGTCGACGACGAAGCGGCCATTCCACGCACAACGAGGAAAAGATGGAAAAAAACAGTAAGTAATCGTTCATGAAAATGTTTGCTAGCGATGCTAACGTTAGCATGCCAACGTCAACATCGAACGTTATAATTAATTTCATATTTTTTATTATTTGTATTTGACACTTGCCGTGGTAATGTAAACTTATATTTTCTAATGTCAATATAGCTACTTAAAAGTGGAACAGCTAGGGGCATTAGTATAGGCTGGGGCCCATGGCTGTTGAAGTAGCTAACATAAACATTTTTGGAATATGAGGCAAACAAACCATGCAAACGGCTACATTCTGTTGTTGGGCACAAACCAGTGGTGGAAAAAGTACTCTTACTTGTATCAATACTGCAATGTAGAAATACTCTGTTACAAGTAAAAGTCCGATTATTTACTTGAGTAAAAGTACAAAAGTATTGGTACAATTTTTGTTTTAACTTAAAATGCCAAGTAGAAAGTACTCGCGATCAGTGGCGGCGCTAGGGGGTGGCTACTTGGGCTCAAGCCCCGGATGTTTTCTGAAAAGCCCCGGATGTTTCACTTTTTAAAAAAAAATGTTTAAATTACATTTTTTTTTTTTTTAAAAACGTCTCGGGAGTAATGTGCAGTACCGGAGTCCACCAGAGAGGCATCCGCTGCGGGACATTAGCCTGCGTACTGCGTAGCCTGCCCTGAAGTAGAAGTGATCCTTCCTAGTGCCTGACGAGTTTTAAGCTAATAGCCTATACAGTTATGGATATTAGAAAGTTATTTTCATCGAAGCAGGCGCCACAAGCTGCAGCAGCAGCAGTATCAGCAGCTGACAACAATGTCATCACCAGCAGTGAAGAAATGGATGATGTTTCAGGTTTGTGAATCTAATGGTGATATCTGCACTTTCTGAAAAAAAGTGATGTGACGTTAATGTTATAGCTAGTAAACATGGAGTAACCACACTAAGTATACCCTTATATGTTAGTATGTATACAGAACATGACTAAAAATTATCCTAAGATATAACGTTAACCCTTCATACCTCAGTCTACTTTTAAGACACTAAAATAACGTATTCCATTTTTTATTTTGTTTTCGCACGTGGAATTATACCGGCTCTCGTTTCAGTACCAACGGAACTGACAGGCAACACTCTGAATCAGACTCCGGTTGGCTGTGACTGCATCCACTCAGAGTGTCCGATTCAGAAACGTGACTCTTACACATTTTTTACGTCACAAACAAAGATGGTGGATGAGAATAGATCTATAAAACGATAAGCAATGCGCCAGAATCAAGGTGAGACTATCTGCATCCTTTAAAACTCTACGCACATTCATTTCACCTTAATAAGTAAATGACTATTTGAGTGAGTTAAGGCATTAGTTTGCTTCATTAAAAGGGTGTTAATGAGTGTTCTCCAGTGCCTTTTGTCCGCTTTAAGGTGTTATTAAGGTAGGGTTAATGTTGCTCTCAAAGTGCACCAGATTGATGCTACAATCCTAAATCCGCCACTGCTCGCGATGCATTGTGAGCTTGTAGATCTGCTATTTTCATATGGCCAAAACGTTTATAAGCCTGAATGGTTAATGTATGTTTTGTAAAAGTTTTTAAATAATTGTAGTGGAGTAAAAGTACAATATTCGCCTCTGAGATGTAGTGGAGTAGAAGTAAAAATACTGAAAATTGGAAATACTCCAGCAAAGTAAAAAAGTACCTATAATTATAAATTGTACTTAAGTACAATACTTAGTTACTTTACACCACTGGCAGAAACCTATAAACATATGTAATAATCCCCCCCTTTATAAATGAACCACATGAAACCTGGCATTCCTGTATATGCAAACATTCGATGGACAATAATGGCACAAATAGCTGATCTGATAGACCATAATTTTAAACAATTAAGGCTATAATTACTAACTCAAAAAAGGGATGCCAGGCTATAAGTGGGTTAGTCTGTCTGTGGGTTTTATACATTTTTAACCAATGAAAAGTATTGACCATTTCATTTTTTAAATACAATTAATACATTTTAAACACCTTTTAAGCACCTTTACATGTTATGTATAGGTTTACACACACACACACACACACACACACACACACACACACATTGTGTGTGTCACACTACAAAGGCTAATCCTAGAATGAGGCTGACCAAACTATTTTCTCTAATCTCAGGCATTTCACTGAAGATGTGGGCAATGGCGAAGCTGAGGCCTCTACTGCTTCTACAGCACAGTAAGTTGCCAACACATGGATAAACATGCAGTCTGTATTCTTGAATGGGAATGAACAAACTATTTTCTCTGATGTTAGGCATTTGACCACAGGTGTGGGCGACAGAGATGCTGAGGCCGCCGCCTATACTGCTTCGAACGATCAAGATGCTGAGGCCTGTACTGCTTCGAATGACAGAGTAAGTTGCAAAAAATGGCTAAAATATTCAAATGTCTAAGTCAGTGCTGCCTTGAATTGTTTTTTTGTGTCCTACAGAGTGTTTGTTAGTGACGAGTCTCCCTGTCTCTCTAGCTCTTTAATAAACAGATAATTCATTTTCAGGTGGGTTGCCAAGTTCAGCCAGTAAGGAGAGATTACCCGTTTATCGGGGGAGACTCTGTTACTGACCAACACTCAATAGCAACTATTACTATCAGAATATAGAGCTAGTTTACACACACATCACTTGCTATACTGTTATCAATTATTAAACCATGGGCCAGACCAGGAATCTTAATCTAGTCTGTGATTTGGTAGAAGGATATGGTTTTGATTTAAGGTTTAAGCAATAGGAACCTTGTGATGTACTAGTCAAACTGTTGAGACATATTTTGTGCACTTTGAAACTAATAATCCAGCAATGGCGCCTATTGACTTCATTATAGGGCGAAACAGTTCTAAAAGTCTCTTTTAAAGCTGATTCTTAATATGAATACCATCACAAAAAACGTTTTTTTAAAGGAAAAAAATGCAAACTTCCTATTGATATTTTAAAAGCTGGATCCGTGTTGCCAGTCCGGGTCGTCTTCCTTTCTCGACAGCAAATTATAAAATAAACATTAGGTTGATATTTGAAAAGATGGTAATTAAAAAAGGCACCACAGGGTTTTGTGATGTTATATATTGTGAAAATGTGCTTTGTTTGCGTTCGTTTATGTGCTAAAAGGATGGCTCAGAGCTGTTTGGCCGTACAATGGAATTCAATGAGTAGCTATTTTAGTTATTTATAAGCAATGGAGCAATCACCAGCTTACTAGTTAGATTATCTCAAGTTAATTACACAGCCCAAACATCTACCAAGTGTCCTATTGCTTTAATCCAGGTGGTTGCCTACCATCCGGAAGAGTACATTTGTTTGATGCAGTCTTGCACTGAGATTGCTAATCCACTGTTTCAAATTCACAGATGAACCAACCACCTGTCCCAAGCTCTCCACCTGAGGAGCCAGTAGAGGGACGGCTACAGGACAGTCCGACATCAGACCAGATCCCATCAAAGGAGCAAGTCGAATTACTGCTTCTGGCATTCAAACTCAAACATGGAATAACACACAGAGCTTTAGAGGACGTTATGAAACTTATTAACTTTAGTGGTGGTCCTTCAGTTAGTGGGTCCAAGTACATGTTCTACAAGTCCTTTGATACAGTTAAAGACGTATTGGAAGTACACTATGTGTGCAAAATCTGCAACCTGAGCATGGAGGAATCTCCTGACACCGTCAAGTGCCCAGTCTGTGACCAGGTCATCTCAAAAGTAGATGCACAAAAAGATCAATGCTTTTTATACCTGCCTCAAAAAGTCAAATACAAAAACTGCTACAGGACCATCACTTAGGGAAACATTTAGCACACCGGTTTGAGGAGAAGGACCTCTCCATCATCAAAGATGTGTACGATGGACAAATGTATAAAAAACTATCACCGCTTGCTTCACCAGACAACATATCGCTGGCTTTCAGCTGTGATGGCGTGCCGGTGCACAAATCAACTAAAAGCAGCTTGTGGACAATTCTTTGTACTATAAATGAACTGCCAATACATCTTCGTGGAAAACATGTGATGGTCTGTGGGCTGTGGTTTGGTCCAAACAAACCCAATATGAATATTTACATGAAACCATTTGTTGATGAATGCATTGATTTATATGAAAATGGTCTTGCATGGAAAAGTGATAGTGGGAAAGTGGTCTCAAGTAAAGTACTTGCTATTTTCTTGGTGGCAGATTCAGTTGCTCGACCACTTGTTCAGAATTTTAAGCAATTTCATGGAGAGTTTGGATGCTCTTTTTGCATGCAGAAAGGGACTACTGTGTTGAAACGCAGGGGGCGTGTAAGGGCATATCCCCATGAAGTTGCAGAGTTGAGGAACCCCTCTCAAACCGAGGATTTGGTAGAACAGGCTCTCTTGGGAAAGCCCACAAATGGAGTGAAAGGGCCTAGTATTTTATCTTGTCTCCTCTATTTTGACATCATTGATGGCTGTGTTCCAGATTATATGCACAGTGTGCTTCTAGGTGTAACTAGAAGCCTAACCACACTGTAGTTTAATTCGGAAAACTTTCAATCTCCTTGGTACCTCGGACGCTCAATAGGACAGGTAGATGAGATGTTAACTTCAATTAAACCCCCCTGTAATGTTTCCCGTGTTCCCCGCTCACTTACAGAGAGAACATTCTGGAAAGCACATGAGTGGTCCATGTGGTTGTTTTATTACAGTGTACCAACATTGAAGGGAGTCTTACCTGAGAAATACCTTAAGCACTGGTTCAACTTGGTTAAGGGGGTCTCTCTTCTGCTTAGTGAGGATATAATAGCACTGCATTTATCTGAATCTGAGAAGTTGCTAATTGAGTGTGTGAAAGAAATGGAGCTCCTTTATGGGACCAGTAATGTAACTTTCAATGCACACTTGTGCCTTCATCTGCCCAATACTGTGAGGAACTGGGGTCCCCTCTGGGCACAGTCTGCATTTGTGTTAGTCATACAATGGGGTCATTTTAGACATGATAAAGAGCAGTCAGAGTGTTTCTCAGCAAATAATAAAAACTGTTTGGCTTAGATGGCATTGCCATCATTTGCCAAAAAAGCCATGGAGGGAGCTTCTGATGAGTGCTTGGCTCTCTTTGAGTGTTTTTCGGATGAGAAAAAAAAAATGCAAGAAGTGAATCGCTCTCATGGTGTTACCTCTCTAGGTGGGCCAAAAATAAGTACGATCAAAAAGGATGATTTTCTGGCCTTGAATAGCATCTGTCATGTTGCACGTAGAGTCCAGGTAATGTATTTTAGCAGAGTTGTTGTGAACGGTGAAATTATTCATTCACAAAACTACACACGTGCTTTCCGTAGAAATTCATATACTGTCATGCTCCATGATCGTGAGGAAAGTATTTTCTCTGTGAAGACGTTCATTGTCTGTGATCTAGGGCAGGGGGATACATGTTATGCAATAGGGCAGTACTACAAAAAAGAGAAACATGACATTTATGGTAAATTTAAGAACCCTGTTTATTTCATCCCTGTGGGAAAACTGCTGGGACATTTAGCTGTTATTCAGGCATCACAGATAAAAGTGTTTGTTCATTAAAACTGAGAAGATGAAGGTAGATTTTGTCTTCACATTCATTAACCACAGTGAAATGCTCAAATAGACAGACATGGGGGGTTTAACAAATCTTTTTTTCTTATTTGAAAAAGAAAATCTAAGAGAACTAAGTATGGTTATTATAGTTCAACATTTTTGCGTTTTGTTTTGACTTTGCTTAAATTTGCTCAATTATTTTACATGTTTGTGTTTTATTTGATATAATACAGTATGTTTGTTGGGGTGAGATTCAAAATGTTCAGGGAAAAGTATTGTGTAAACATCATACCATTTTAACCCATTAAGACCTGAGGCCCATTCTACAAATGTCTTTAAATCCTAAGCTTTCTGAAAAAAAACTGTTGCTATATCAGTGGTTCTCAAACGTTTTAATGTCAAGGACCCCCAAAATGGTATATATTTGGCCACCGACCCCATCTCAAAATATTTTGTACCAGGGACCCCCAGAACCAAAGATTTTAGTTAATAGCGCGGCATATGAGCTTGCATATCTGCTATTTTTGAATAGCTAAAGTATAAAATATGGCTGAAAATGACAAAGATGCTTTCCTGGTTTTAATGGGTTAAAATGACACTGCAAAAAAGAAAATGGAAACTAGATTTCATATCCCCCCAAAGTGTTATCCATACCAAATAGGACATTTTCTCCATGATTTTTGTTTTTCGTTTTTGTACATGCAGCCATGTTTATTTCAGTTAACTAATCTGTTTGTCTTTTTATTTTAGTTTTATTTTGTTAGTTTCAGTTGGCTATAATGACCTTGGAGCAATGTGTTTATACTGTTCATTTAAGGGTATTATAAATTACATAGGATTGAAAACATTTCATTTGGTACAGTACATTTAATACTACCTTTTAGTGAATGTGATTAATGTCAGTGGCTCAAACTAAAAATGTTTCTTCATAGAATAAAACATACCGTAATCAAACAATATTGTCTTTATACATTGAATTGTCTTGGGCAATCCGCAAACCTCAATCTGCATTGAATGGAAATAAGTACAATGATTAATTCATGTAGTTATATAGAACTTTGGAATAATATGCACATTACCACATTACCTTGCAAAGACCTATGTAGGCATTCTGTATGACATATATGCAAAAAGACAGATATATGAGCTATATATGACACATATATCTCCTATTAATCCACATATATGAACCTGAATATGACATATATGCAACATAATATTCTGCATATATTTGCCATATATGTTCATATACTTTCTTTCCGTGTGGGCTGACTCTCCAGATATGAATGAAAGGCAGAATTGTGTTTTATTGTGAGTTGTTCACACAATCCTGAGTGGCTTGAATTTAGTTATTTTGCCATTTAAAAAATAAAGATAATTGTGACAATATAAATTGTTATTTAACAGTGTATTTGTATGTTACTTTTATGTTTAAAAAATGCCAGGACTATTGGACCATTCACATTATCAAATCTGGCCCTCTTAAAAAAATGTGTTGACACCCCTGGCTTATATAGTGACATTACAATAACACAACATGACTTGCACAACATACATATGACACAACGATCTGACGTGTTACAGTACTTTGATGATTCATCTGTGCTTCACAGTTACAGTAAACAGTGCTAAGCTGCTCCATTAACATGCACCCTCTGTCAATCAATCAATCAATCAATGTTTATTTATATAGCCCAATATCACAAATGTTACATTTGTCTCAGTGGACTTTACAGTTTGTACAAAATATCAGTATGACAATACGACACCCTCTGTCCTTAGACCCTCACTTCGTACAAGGAAAAACTTCCAGAGAAAACCCACAGTTTAAAGGGAAAAATGGGAGAATCCTCAGGGAGAGCAACAGAGGAGGGATCCCTCTCCCAGGACGGACAGACGTGCAATAGATGCCGTGTGTAAATTAAAAAGATAATACATTTGCAACATAGGTAGTCCAAATGTTTGGAAATGCATGTGCGTATAATAGGAAGATGAATCCACGAGGATATCCATCCAGGACCTATGATCCAGGACCACAGCCACGACTCAAGATCCAGGGCTCGCGATCCAGGACACAGGACCGCAGGATCATCCATGACTCCGGATCCCGGCGTATACAGACACCAAAAAGAAAGACATTTGGGGAAGCTGGGTTAATCGGAACATGAGAGTACACAGGTATAGACAGAGAGAAGGAAGAAGTAAGATGTCCCCCGACAAACTAAGCCTATATCAGCAAAACTAGGGGCTGAATCTAATCAGCCCTAACTATAAGCTTTATCAAAAAGGAAGGTCTTAAGCGCACTCTTAAAAACGAATAGGGTGTCTGCCGCCCGAACACAAACTGGAAGCTGATTCCACAAATGTGGAGCTTGATAAGAAAAGGCTCTGGCTCCCATTGTACTTTTAGAGACTCTAGGAACAACCAACAACCCTGCATTCTTGGAACGCAATGCCCTAATAGGACAGTAGGGTATAATGAGTTATTACTCAGATGGCGCCTGCCCATTAAGGGCTTTGTAGGCGAGAAGAAGAATTTTAAATTCTATCCTGTGTTCTATAGGGAGCCAGTGTAAGGCAGCCAGAACAGGAGTAATGTGGTCCCTTTTCCTAACTCTGGTTAGTACACGAGCTGCAGCATTTTGAATCAGCTGAAGCAACTTGACTGACTTCTTGGTACACCCTGATAATAAAGTTACAATAATCCAGCCTTGAAGTAACAAATGCATGGACTAGTTTCTCTGCATCGTTTTGAGGCAAGATATGCCTGATTTTTGCAATGTTACGTAGATGGAAGTAGGCGGTCCTTGAAATTGATTTTATGTGGGCGTTAAAGGATAAATCCTGATCAAATATAACACCAAGATTCCTTACAGTCTCACTGGAGGCCAAATGAATGCCATCCATAGTTAGTATATCTTTAGATAATTTGTTTCTTAGATTCTTCGGGCCAAGTACAATAACTTCAGTTTTTGTCGTGTTTAACATCAAAAAGTTTAAGGTCATCCACGTTTTTAAGTCCTTAAGGCAGTCTTGAATTTTATTTAGATGATTAATTTCATCAGGCTTGATTGATAAATATAGTTGAGTATCATCCGCATAACAATGAAAATGTACACAATGATTCCTTATAATATTGCCTAACGGAAGCATATATAATGTGAACAAAATAGGTCCGAGCACTGAGCCCTGTGGCACTCCATGGCTAACTTTGGTTTGCGTGGACAATTCATCATTGACACGTACAAACTGAGAGCGTTCAGATAGATAGGACCAAAACCAGCCTAAAGCAGTTCCCTGTATGCCAACTAAGTGCTCTAGTCTTTGCAATAAGATATCATGGTCGATAGTATCAAATGCAGCACTGAGATCGAGCAAAACAAGAATAGAGACACGTCCCTTGTCAGAGGCTATTAGAATGTCATTTGTGACTTTAACCAGAGCTGTCTCTGTGCTATGATGTGTTCTAAAGCCAGACTGAAAATCTTCAAATAAATCATTGTTTTTTAAGTAATCACACAGCTGTTTTGCGACTGCTTTCTCAAGAATTTTTGAGAGGAACAGAAGATTAGAAATAGGTCTATAGTTGACTAAAACCTCTGGATCGAGGTTGTGCTTTTTAAGAAGCGGTTTTATCACTGCTACTTTGAATGATTGTGGAACATAGCCTGATAATAAAGACATATTCATAATATTTAATAAGGAAGTGCTAATTAATGGAAAAACTTCCTTCAACAGCTTAGTTGGAATTGGGTCTAACATACACGTTGATGGTTTATAAGAGAGAATCATTGAATTTAATTGTTCAAGGTTTATGGCTGAAAAGCATTCTAGTTTACTATCTAGTGTAATATTAGAACTTACGTTTCCGGGAGCTGTTGATAACACTATACTGGTCAAAGGCAAGAGGTCATTAATTTTGTTTCTAAGAGTAACAATTTTATCGTTAAAAAAGCATATAAAATCATTACTACTGAGTGCTATGGGAATAGAAGGCTCAATCGAGCTGTGGCTCTCTGTCAGCCTGGCTACAGTGCTGAAAATAAATCTTGCATTATTCTTATTCTCATCTATTAATGAAGAGTAGTAGGCTGCTCTCGCTTTACGCAGTGTTTTCTTATATTCATTGAGAGTAATATGCCAAATTAAACGAGATTCTTCAAGTTTAGTGGAACGCCATATCCTTTCAAGTTGTCTCGACTTTTGCTTTATTTTGCGGGTTTCAGCATTATGCCATGGAGCTAATCTATGTTGTTTTATTTTCTTCTTTTTCAAAGGAGCAACAGAGTCTAATTTTATTCGCAGCGCATCTATAGCACTATCAACAACATGATCAATTTGGGGTGGTGTACATTTTGTATAAGTTTCCTCCCTCACATAGAGACATGCTATCGAGTTAAGTATTGGTCGAATCTCTGTTATGATTCTGTTTAGTTTTATTTTTGTTGTGTGCTTTTGTGTGCTTTTTCCTGTCTCACCCCTCTCTTCTCTGTGTTGCTCTGCAGGGCTGGCGTGTGACAGGGAGTTGGCTGGCTCCTCCCAGGAGCAGACGAGGCACACCTGTTTCCACTCACCTCTTCACCTGTAGATTTATAAGCCCGGTCCTCATGCCACTTCCCTGCCAGATAATTCCTCTGTGTTTCGACCCTCCGGTGTGTCTCGCTGCTCTCCTCGTCGTTTGGATTAAGTGTTTGGATTTTTGCCTCCTGTCCCTGATGACTCAGTGCCAGCCAACTACCTGACTCCACTGCCGTATTTTCAGTTTTCTGCTTGAATAAAGCTTTTTGTTTATTGACCATCTCTCTCCAGTCTTTTGCTTTGGGGTCCAAAATTCTATAGGCCGTAACAGAATTATCTGGCCAAAGCATGGACCCCGCAGAGACTGAGAAATTGAGGCAAGCTCTTTCGACACAGGGAGCTCGTGTGGGGCAGCACGAACAAGCTCTACAAGGTATCATGGAATCCCTCCACAACCTTACTGCGGGTTTCACTCAACTCAGTGGCCGCTTGGACCAGTCTTTCATCCAGCTCAACACGCTGACGGCTCCAGCTCCTGCGCCACCACCCCCACCTCCTGAGATTCCAGTCATTCATCCCGGCCAACCCCGTGAACCATTCATCCCCACCCCTGTGAGGTATTCAGGTGATTCAGGGACATGCAGTCAGTTTCTTCACCAGTGCTCCATAGTTTTTGATCAGCAGCCTTTAACTTACTCCTCTGACAGAACTAGAGTAGCTTTTGTGATGAGTTTGTTATCGGGTAAAGCAGCTGCATGGGCGGTAGCCATAGCCAAGAGTAACCCAGCTATATATAACTCTTTTCCTGTGTTTGAGACCGAGATGTATCGAGTTTTTGACCACCCGCTTCAGGGTAAGGAGGCCGGTAATCGGCTCCTTTCTTTACGCCAGGGTTCTGAGTCAGTCTCCACTTACTCAATTGATTTCCGCATTCTCGCAGCAGAGAGCGGGTGAGATGAGACGGCTCTACAGATAGCTTTTTCCCGTGGATTAAATGACCAGTTAAAGGACGAGCTAGCTGCTCGAGATGAGACTTCGTCCCTTGAGGAGTTAATTTCTTTGGCCATTCGCTTAGATAATCGCCTTCGTGAGAGGCGTAGGGAGAGAACAGACAGGCAGAGATTCCCTCTCCCCTTTTCCCAACCCAAGTCACCACGTCCGCCTGGACAGTCTGCACCTCCTCACCAACGCCTGGGGCCTTTCGCCTACCGGGACCCACCCACCGTCTCCTCATCCCTAAGCCCAGAAGAGCCTATGCAGCTGGGGAGAATGAGGCTTTCACCTGTGGAACGGGAATGCCGTTTCCTCCAGAGGCTCTGCATATACTGTGGTCAGGCTGGCCACATTCGAGCCAACTGTTCCGCTCTGCCAAAAGAGCAGGCTCAGCAGCCGGGGGAGGGGCGCTGGTGAGCCATACTTCTGTCTCCCCTTCCCACGCTAATCGTCTCCAGTTAAAGGGTACGGTTTCTAGTTCACAAGTTTCCCTTCCCCTTCAAGTCTTAGTTGATTCAGGGGCTGATGAAAATGTTATTGACTCTGACCTGGTTTTCCAGTCTAATCTCCCCTCAGAACTCCTGCCCGAGCCCAAGAACATTTTTTCCCTTGATGGTAGGCTTCTTGCCCGTGTAACTCACCGTACTGCCCCTGTGTCATTGTTACTCTCAGGTAATCATCACGAGACCATTTCCCTTTATCTCATTCCCTCACCCCTTTCTCCGCTGGTGTTAGGTCTCCCCTGGCTTAAACTCCACAACCCACACATAGACTGGGCCACCTTATCCATCGTCAATTGGAGTTTGTTCTGCCACTCTCACTGTTTACACTCTGCCATACCCACCACTGTTACTTCAAAACCTGTTCCCCCCCCCAGACCTGTTGACCTCACGTCAGTTCCCTCTGAGTATCATGACCTCCAGGAGGTTTTCAACAAGGATCGTGCCCTGTCTCTACCACCTCATCGACCTTATGACTGTGGCATTGACTTGCTCCCCGGTGCTCCCTTGCCTTCGAGCAGACTTTATAATATCTCCAAGCCGGAGAGGGAGGCCATGGAGACTTATATCACTGACTCTGTTGCTACTGGTCTCATTCGGCTCACTCAGCTATAATGTTATAGCTAGTAAACATGGAGTAACCACACTAAGTATACCCTTATATGTTAGTATGTATACAGAACATGACTAAAAATTATCCTAAGATATAACGTTAACCCTTCATACCTCAGTCTACTTTTAAGACACTAAAATAACGTATTCCATTTTTTATTTTGTTTTCGCGCGTGGAATTATACCGGCTCTTGTTTCAGTACAAATAACAACGGAACTGACAGGCAACCCTCTGAATCAGACTCCGATTGGCTGTGACTGCATCCACTCAGAGTGTCCGATTCAGAAACGTGACTCTTACACATTTTTTACATCACAAACAAAGATGGTGGATGAGAATAGATCTATAAAACGATAAGCAATGCGCCAGAATCAAGGTGAGACTATCCGCATCCTTTAAAACTCTACGCACATTCATTTCACCTTAATAAGTAAATGACTATTTGAGTGAGTTAAGGCATTAGTTTGCTTCATTAAAAGGGTGTTAATGAGTGTTCTCCAGTGCCTTTTGTCCGCTTTAAGGTGTTATTAAGGTAGGGTTAATGTTGCTCTCAAAGTGCACCAGATTGATGCTACAATCCTAAATCCGCCACTGCTCGCGATGCATTGTGAGCTTGTAGATCTGCTATTTTCATATGGCCAAAACGTTTATAAGCCTGAATGGTTAATGTATGTTTTGTAAAAGTTTTTAAATAATTGTAGTGGAGTAAAAGTACAATATTCGCCTCTGAGATGTAGTGGAGTAGAAGTAAAAATACTGAAAATTGGAAATACTCCAGCAAAGTAAAAAAGTACCTATAATTATATAAATTGTACTTAAGTACAATACTTAGTTACTTTACACCACTGGCAGAAACCTATAAACATATGTAATAATCCCCCCCTTTATAAATGAACCACATGAAACCTGGCATTCCTGTATATGCAAACATTCGATGGACAATAATGGCACAAATAGCTGATCTGATAGACCATAATTTTAAACAATTAAGGCTATAATTACTAACTCAAAAAAGGGATGCCAGGCTATAAGTGGGTTAGTCTGTCTGTGGGTTTTATACATTTTTAACCAATGAAAAGTATTGACCATTTCATTTTTTAAATACAATTAATACATTTTAAACACCTTTTAAGCACCTTTACATGTTATGTATAGGTTTACACACACACACACACACACACACACACACACACACACACACACACATTGTGTGTGTCACACTACAAAGGCTAATCCTAGAATGAGGCTGACCAAACTATTTTCTCTAATCTCAGGCATTTCACTGAAGATGTGGGCAATGGCGAAGCTGAGGCCTCTACTGCTTCTACAGCACAGTAAGTTGCCAACACATGGATAAACATGCAGTCTGTATTCTTGAATGGGAATGAACAAACTATTTTCTCTGATGTTAGGCATTTGACCACAGGTGTGGGCGACAGAGATGCTGAGGCCGCCGCCTATACTGCTTCGAACGATCAAGATGCTGAGGCCTGTACTGCTTCGAATGACAGAGTAAGTTGCAAAAAATGGCTAAAATATTCAAATGTCTAAGTCAGTGCTGCCTTGAATTGTTTTTTTGTGTCCTACAGAGTGTTTGTTAGTGACGAGTCTCCCTGTCTCTCTAGCTCTTTAATAAACAGATAATTCATTTTCAGGTGGGTTGCCAAGTTCAGCCAGTAAGGAGAGATTACCCGTTTATCGGGGGAGACTCTGTTACTGACCAACACTCAATAGCAACTATTACTATCAGAATATAGAGCTAGTTTACACACACATCACTTGCTATACTGTTATCAATTATTAAACCATGGGCCAGACCAGGAATCTTAATCTAGTCTGTGATTTGGTAGAAGGATATTACTATTTAGACATTAGTTTTGATTTAAGGTTTAAGCAATAGGAACCTTGTGATGTACTAGTCAAATTGTTGAGACATATTTTGTGCACTTTGAAACTAATAATCCAGCAATGGCGCCTATTGACTTCATTATAGGGCGAAACAGTTCTAAAAGTCTCTTTTAAAGCTGATTCTTAATATGAATACCATCACAAAAAACGTTTTTTTAAAGGAAAAAAAATGCAAACTTCCTATTGATATTTTAAAAGCTGGATCCGTGTTGCCAGTCCGGGTCGTCTTCCTTTCTCGACAGCAAATTATAAAATAAACATTAGGTTGATATTTGAAAAGATGGTAATTAAAAAAGGCACCACAGGGTTTTGTGATGTTATATATTGTGAAAATGTGCTTTGTTTGCGTTCGTTTATGTGCTAAAAGGATGGCTCAGAGCTGTTTGGCCGTACAATGGAATTCAATGAGTAGCTATTTTAGTTATTTATAAGCAATGGAGCAATCACCAGCTTACTAGTTAGATTATCTCAAGTTAATTACACAGCCCAAACATCTACCAAGTGTCCTATTGCTTTAATCCAGGTGGTTGCCTACCATCCGGAAGAGTACATTTGTTTGATGCAGTCTTGCACTGAGATTGCTAATCCACTGTTTCAAATTCACAGATGAACCAACCACCTGTCCCAAGCTCTCCACCTGAGGAGCCAGTAGAGGGACGGCTACAGGACAGTCCGACATCAGACCAGATCCCATCAAAGGAGCAAGTCGAATTACTGCTTCTGGCATTCAAACTCAAACATGGAATAACACACAGAGCTTTAGAGGACGTTATGAAACTTATTAACTTTAGTGGTGGTCCTTCAGTTAGTGGGTCCAAGTACATGTTCTACAAGTCCTTTGATACAGTTAAAGACGTATTGGAAGTACACTATGTGTGCAAAATCTGCAACCTGAGCATGGAGGAATCTCCTGACACCGTCAAGTGCCCAGTCTGTGACCAGGTCATCTCAAAAGTAGATGCACAAAAAGATCAATGCTTTTTATACCTGCCTCAAAAAGTCAAATACAAAAAACTGCTACAGGACCATCACTTAGGGAAACATTTAGCACACCGGTTTGAGGAGAAGGACCTCTCCATCATCAAAGATGTGTACGATGGACAAATGTATAAAAAACTATCACCGCTTGCTTCACCAGACAACATATCGCTGGCTTTCAGCTGTGATGGCGTGCCGGTGCACAAATCAACTAAAAGCAGCTTGTGGACAATTCTTTGTACTATAAATGAACTGCCAATACATCTTCGTGGAAAACATGTGATGGTCTGTGGGCTGTGGTTTGGTCCAAACAAACCCAATATGAATATTTACATGAAACCATTTGTTGATGAATGCATTGATTTATATGAAAATGGTCTTGCATGGAAAAGTGATAGTGGGAAAGTGGTCTCAAGTAAAGTACTTGCTATTTTCTTGGTGGCAGATTCAGTTGCTCGACCACTTGTTCAGAATTTTAAGCAATTTCATGGAGAGTTTGGATGCTCTTTTTGCATGCAGAAAGGGACTACTGTGTTGAAACGCAGGGGGCGTGTAAGGGCATATCCCCATGAAGTTGCAGAGTTGAGGAACCCCTCTCAAACCGAGGATTTGGTAGAACAGGCTCTCTTGGGAAAGCCCACAAATGGAGTGAAAGGGCCTAGTATTTTATCTTGTCTCCCCTATTTTGACATCATTGATGGCTGTGTTCCAGATTATATGCACAGTGTACTTCTAGGTGTAACTAGAAGCCTAACCACACTGTGGTTTAATTCGGAAAACTTTCAATCTCCTTGGTACCTCGGACGCTCAATAGGACAGGTAGATGAGATGTTAACTTCAATTAAACCCCCCTGTAATGTTTCCCGTGTTCCCCGCTCACTTACAGAGAGAACATTCTGGAAAGCACATGAGTGGTCCATGTGGTTGTTTTATTACAGTGTACCAACATTGAAGGGAGTCTTACCTGAGAAATACCTTAAGCACTGGTTCAACTTGGTTAAGGGGGTCTCTCTTCTGCTTAGTGAGGATATAATAGCACTGCATTTATCTGAATCTGAGAAGTTGCTAATTGAGTGTGTCAAAGAAATGGAGCTCCTTTATGGGACCAGTAATGTAACTTTCAATGCACACTTGTGCCTTCATCTGCCCAATACTGTGAGGAACTGGGGTCCCCTCTGGGCACAGTCTGCATTTGTGTTAGTCATACAATGGGGTCATTTTAGACATGATAAAGAGCAGTCAGAGTGTTTCTCAGCAAATAATAAAAACTGTTTGGCTTCAGATGGCATTGCCATCATTTGCCAAAAAAGCCATGGAGGGAGCTTCTGATGAGTGCTTGGCTCTCTTTGAGTGTTTTTCGGATGAGAAAAAAAAAATGCAAGAAGTGAATCGCTCTCATGGTGTTACCTCTCTAGGTGGGCCAAAAATAAGTACGATCAAAAAGGATGATTTTCTGGCCTTGAATAGCATCTGTCATGTTGCACGTAGAGTCCAGGTAATGTATTTTAGCAGAGTTGTTGTGAACGGTGAAATTATTCATTCACAAAACTACACACGTGCTTTCCGTAGAAATTCATATACTGTCATGCTCCATGATCGTGAGGAAAGTATTTTCTCTGTGAAGACGTTCATTGTCTGTGATCTAGGGCAGGGGGATACATGTTATGCAATAGGGCAGTACTACAAAAAAGAGAAACATGACATTTATGGTAAATTTAAGAACCCTGTTTATTTCATCCCTGTGGGAAAACTGCTGGGACATTTAGCTGTTATTCAGGCATCACAGATAAAAGTGTTTGTTCATTAAAACTGAGAAGATGAAGGTAGATTTTGTCTTCACATTCATTAACCACAGTGAAATGCTCAAATAGACAGACATGGGGGTTTAACAAATCTTTTTTTCTTATTTGAAAAAGAAAATCTAAGAGAACTAAGTATGGTTATTATAGTTCAACATTTTTGCGTTTTGTTTTGACTTTGCTTAAATTTGCTCAATTATTTTACATGTTTGTGTTTTATTTGATATAATACAGTATGTTTGTTGGGGTGAGATTCAAAATGTTCAGGGAAAAGTATTGTGTAAACATCATACCATTTTAACCCATTAAGACCTGAGGCCCATTCTACAAATGTCTTTAAATCCTAAGCTTTCTGAAAAAAAACTGTTGCTATATCAGTGGTTCTCAAACGTTTTAATGTCAAGGACCCCCAAAATGGTATATATTTGGCCACCGACCCCATCTCAAAATATTTTGTTACCAGGGACCCCCAGAACCAAAGATTTTAGTTAATAGCGCGGCATATGAGCTTGCATATCTGCTATTTTTGAATAGCTAAAGTATAAAATATGGCTGAAAATGACAAAGATGCTTTCCTGGTTTTAATGGGTTAAAATGACACTGCAAAAAAGAAAATGGAAACTAGATTTCATATCCCCCCAAAGTGTTATCCATACCAAATAGGACATTTTCTCCATGATTTTTGTTTTTCGTTTTTGTACATGCAGCCATGTTTATTTCAGTTAACTAATCTGTTTGTCTTTTTATTTTAGTTTTATTTTGTTAGTTTCAGTTGGCTATAATGACCTTGGAGCAATGTGTTTATACTGTTCATTTAAGGGTATTATAAATTACATAGGATTGAAAACATTTCATTTGGTACAGTACATTTAATACTACCTTTTAGTGAATGTGATTAATGTCAGTGGCTCAAACTAAAAATGTTTCTTCATAGAATAAAACATACCGTAATCAAACAATATTGTCTTTATACATTGAATTGTCTTGGGCAATCCGCAAACCTCAATCTGCATTGAATGGAAATAAGTACAATGATTAATTCATGTAGTTATATAGAACTTTGGAATAATATGCACATTACCACATTACCTTGCAAAGACCTATGTAGGCATTCTGTATGACATATATGCAAAAAGACAGATATATGAGCTATATATGACACATATATCTCATATTAATCCACATATATGAACCTGAATATGACATATATGCAACATAATATTCTGCATATATTTGCCATATATGTTCATATACTTCCTTTCTGTGTGGGCTGACTCTCCAGATATGAATGAAAGGCAGAATTGTGTTTTATTGTGAGTTGTTCACACAATCCTGAGTGGCTTGAATTTAGTTATTTTGCCATTTAAAAAATAAAGATAATTGTGACAATATAAATTGTTATTTAACAGTGTATTTGTATGTTACTTTTATGTTTAAAAAATGCCAGGACTATTGGACCATTCACATTATCAAATCTGGCCCTCTTAAAAAAATGTGTTGACACCCCTGGCTTATATAGTGACATTACAATAACACAACATGACTTGCACAACATACATGTATATGACACAACGATCTGACGTGTTACAGTACTTTGATGATTCATCTGTGCTTCACAGTTACAGTAAACAGTGCTAAGCTGCTCCATTAACATGCACCCTCTGTCAATCAATCAATCAATCAATGTTTATTTATATAGCCCAATATCACAAATGTTACATTTGTCTCAGTGGACTTTACAGTTTGTACAAAATATCAGTATGACAATACGACACCCTCTGTCCTTAGACCCTCACATCGTACAAGGAAAAACTTCCAGAGAAAACCCACAGTTTAAAGGGAAAAATGGGAGAATCCTCAGGGAGAGCAACAGAGGAGGGATCCCTCTCCCAGGACGGACAGACGTGCAATAGATGCCGTGTGTAAATTAAAAAGATAATACATTTGCAACATAGGTAGTCCAAATGTTTGGAAATGCATGTGCGTATAATAGGAAGATGAATCCACAAGGATATCCATCCAGGACCTATGATCCAGGACCACAGCCACGACTCAAGATCCAGGGCTCGCGATGCAGGACACAGGACCGCAGGATCATCCATGACTCCGGATCCCGGCGTATATAGACACCAAAAAGAAAGACATTTGGGGAAGCTGGGTTAATCGGAACATGAGAGTACACAGGTATAGACAGAGAGAAGGAAGAAGTAAGATGTCCCCCGACAAACTAAGCCTATATCAGCAAAACTAGGGGCTGAATCTAATCAGCCCTAACTATAAGCTTTATCAAAAAGGAAGGTCTTAAGCGCACTCTTAAAAACGAATAGGGTGTCTGCCGCCCGAACACAAACTGGAAGCTGATTCCACAAATGTGGAGCTTGATAAGAAAAGGCTCTGGCTCCCATTGTACTTTTAGAGACTCTAGGAACAACCAACAACCCTGCATTCTTGGAACGCAATGCCCTAATAGGACAGTAGGGTATAATGAGTTATTTAAGGTAAGATGGCGCCTGCCCATTAAGGGCTTTGTAGGCGAGAAGAAGAATTTTAAATTCTATCCTGTGTTCTATAGGGAGCCAGTGTAAGGCAGCCAGAACAGGAGTAATGTGGTCCCTTTTCCTAACTCTGGTTAGTACACGAGCTGCAGCATTTTGAATCAGCTGAAGCGACTTGACTGACTTCTTGGTACACCCTGATAATAAAGTTACAATAATCCAGCCTTGAAGTAACAAATGCATGGACTAGTTTCTCTGCATCGTTTTGAGGCAAGATATGCCTGATTTTTGCAATGTTACGTAGATGGAAGTAGGCGGTCCTTGAAATTGATTTTATGTGGGCGTTAAAGGATAAATCCTGATCAAATATAACACCAAGATTCCTTACAGTCTCACTGGAGGCCAAATTAATGCCATCCATAGTTAGTATATCTTTAGATAATTTGTTTCTTAGATTCTTCGGGCCAAGTACAATAACTTCAGTTTTTGTCGTGTTTAACATCAAAAAGTTTAAGGTCATCCACGTTTTTAAGTCCTTAAGGCAGTCTTGAATTTTATTTAGATGATTAATTTCATCAGGCTTGATTGATAAATATAGTTGAGTATCATCCGCATAACAATGAAAATGTACACAATGATTCCTTATAATATTGCCTAACGGAAGCATATATAATGTGAACAAAATAGGTCCGAGCACTGAGCCCTGTGGCACTCCATGGCTAACTTTGGTTTG